CCTTCTGCATATCCACACGCAAATAGAATTTGCTTCCACCGGAGTACTCTATTGGCCTTCCACCCTTACCTTAACCAGCAAGATGTGTTTATGTCAGTGTCATAAGCAAGAGGCAGCCTTGCCGAACAAATACTGCTCGTTTACCAGATGTTACTGGTAAGAGCACTCCCTCAAATCGACGGACCCCCTGTCAGCGCAAAGAATACGTTTTCAGAACTGCCACCTGGACACCTCACAGCCAAATTCTATAACATCTGGGACAGGTGCAACACTCATCAGCAGTATTCCTATCTAAAGTACAAACCTTTGCTTATCTCTTGAAATCTGACCGAGATCCGGCACTTTGTGTAGGAGCGCCCCCTGCCTGCATACAGCTGTCTCATTGCGCTGATGTTTGATATTTATGGCCACAATCTTGACAACATTTTAGATGACGATCTAAAACAAGGCTTGATGCATTATACATTCAGTATCCAGCACTCACCCATTCACTCCAGTAACTCGCTCACAGAAGGTCAGTCGCATCCTTATCACTCTTCCCATGTCGACTGTCATGGTTACTGTTCTCGTGAATTGAGTTCATTGATTCTTCCAACCCGTCTCGGCGGCTCGGGTCGACCAGACTGCTTCGTCTCATCCGCAGTGTTCAACCACCATCACTGCGGGTCACAACGCTTCTGCGACTTTGGAATTCCCTCCTATCGTCTCGACCCCCCCCCCCCCGCGCTCTTACGACCTAGCTCAATTCAAGGACCGCTATTAACTTTAGTAAAAAAAAATGATAGTGCTCTTTATTGCTGGCTGGCTGCTTAATGTTTTTGGCGGGTTGTCATGTGCTCAGAAACTGTGATTTTAAAAAGAAAAGTTTAGTGATGTCACACTGTTGTGGTAATTGAATCAGAGGATCGGTTCAATTACCACAATCGTATGGTTCGCTGTCTAGAAATCGCCGTTTGCGTCTATTATCACTCTGATACTCACCTATTCACAAAAACAGAAGCCAGCAATTTTGTCATTGAAGTTTCCTTTTTAAAGCGAACATGAACATATAAGAGTCTGTTTGACCACATATGAACAAAATGGCACTTTGGTAGTCCATCACTAAATGACGCGTTGGTACAATACTACTAAGCAGCGTGTCATTCAGCAGGACAACTCTGGACTGGTTTCAAGATCACGAGTCTCATCTGCAGACCGTGGCCTGTTGACTCGGTGTGATCTATTGATGTCGTGCATCTTTCATTTTCACTATTATACCCATCGTCTACTAAGAACGATGTGTAAATATTGCATTGTCGTTTGAATGGAAGATTGATTAACACTCGGATAGGTGGAGATATGACCATTTGTGGTTGCCATGTGCCCTGGTGTAAGGAATGAAATGGGCTCCACCTTTCCGCCTATCTCCCAAACAAACACTCTTCGGAGCCCAGCGCCTTGGCCTCTAATGGTCCGTTGGTCCTGGTGTTGTTGTACTGAATGGACATCGCGAAGCTACACTGAAAGCGCATCGATCAACCTTTTACATAAGTGCAGTTTTTTATAGAATCCGGCAGATGGCGGCTGACGCCTTACGACGCGATACTATCCATTGTCTTTTACCGCCAGGGTATATATTTTTTTAATTCATAAATATCAACACGTACAGCACATACAATTCCGCACATTTGTGAGAATGTAATATTGGTTTGATAACTTGATAGATATGGCGTGCATTGTTATACGTGCGCCATTTGAAAAACAAGCCATCATTTATCTTACACTGCGAGGTGAGATGTTAACGCAGGGCAATTCAGTTACCATATACACCTCCAGCAATCCAGGTGCGAGCCCTGGCAATGGTCATTCGCGCCTGGAATTACTGTTATCTGAGCCTGATGTGGCTTTCCTATAGATCAACTCGGCCCAAAATAAGATACCTGGATCGACGATGTGTCAGTCCCTCATTGGGGAGTATGTCGTGCTTAAACGTGTGTCTTTCTGACCATTGGATAAGGACCTCTCCACGCCTGTGTTATTTGATCATCCTCCAGTGCGGATTGGTGGCGGCGGGGAGCATGGACGTGAGAGCATAGAAGTACAGTACAACAATGCATATTAATGCACTGCTCCTTGCTGATCACCACGTAGCCTCGCAGCATCGAACGACCTGCGTGTGTATGGTGCTCACCCTTAAAAGCATCATCCCGGTTCACAGCCTGATGAGCTTCCAAAGCCGTGCCATTTGGTCACAGACGAAGGACTACATTCTGGTGGAAATAGCCGTGGATATGAAAATCTCAGCTGGAGAATAATGTTGTTGCCTGGTTTACTTAATATGTTGGTAAGTTTGTGTTTAGCCATAAGTTGGTGGCCTTAGTTTCCAAATATGTGCAGGGTATCAAACCCTTATATTGTACATCACATGAAGTACAGATGCAGCCCTGAAATAGCGAGCTCACGCCACTACTGACGGAGGGCATCCACTAGAAGGAGTTCTAGAGAGCCCCTATGGATGGCATTTAACCTATAAAGTCCTCTTACACGCTGACCAGACATCTAGAAAGGGGTGGGGACACCTACATTTTGCCCCACGACACACGACCTCCCGATCGGACTCACTGTGGCGTGCCTGTTTATAAACCACTGACTGGGTGGACAGAGGCGGCGGGGGATTTAAGAGGCTGAATCACGTGTTAAGGCAATGTGTTAACACAACGGCTCCGTCGTCTTCGACCCATGAGAAACGTAGCTTTCTTTTTGACATAATTCTTCACGTAAGTGCAGCACAAGTAGCATGTTTTCGCTAATAAAACATCCTGAAAGCACATATGCCTTGGAAGAATATGTTCATTGTATTCTCTCTCTTTAGTATTATTAAATAAAAAGCGCCAAGTGTTGATGACAATATGTGCCACAACCTGTAATGAAGCGCAATGAATACTAAGTATTCAGTTATAACCAATGCAGCAAATTAGTCTTGTAATTAAATGTAATTATGTTCTCATATACATCGTATTAACATCGGAAATAATTGTAAGCTTTGCTGCAGCTGTCTGCTGGGACGGGATGTCCTTACCGCGTCTTTTCGTGTACTTTTTCTAAAACACAGCCTTACAGATTTGAGACGTATCTGTAACGCTCGTAATAATTCGCAGTCATATTCTATCCACTGCTAGATGGAGGCCTCCCAACGCCATGCCGGTGATGGGGGATTGTCTGATCATAATTCTCCACCCTTCGTCAGTGTGGCTTGGTGAAAGAGGTGGGGTGACCTGAAACGGTTTAAATCTATCACTCAAGACTGAAACTCCATTCGCCTGACTCAGAGCGCAAACCACCACAACACCGCTCCCCCAATTTGTCATCTATTGTTGCGCTTTATTTCAAATTAAACGTATTGTATGTTTGTTTATTTGTACTTGTCATGCATGATGTAGGTTACTGCAGTAGTTTTGTTTCTACTGAGATCAAAGGACTGTGTCAAAAGTTTCGGGTATAAGATATTGAGAATGTTCGGTACGGCAATGTGCTTACATCCATCCCTATGTAAGTGTATGTATGTTGAACTTATTTCGCACCGTACGTAGCCAACCGTGCTAATCAGAGGTGCGGGTGAAGGACAAAAAGCTAAACACAAAAATCAGTTCTAAATAAAATAGTTTTCAATCTAGATGTAAAATTGCATAGGTTCAGTGGCTTCCTAATATCGGAAGAAAGAGCGTTCCAGACGGTCGCTGCAGCACATCTGAAATCACGCGATGCGGTGTCCGTCTTTGTTCGATGGATGGCCAAAAGCCGCTGCGAGGATGACCGGAGTTTGCGTGATGGTTTATGCACCTTGACGAGATCAGCAAGGTGTTGTGGTTCCTTCGGCAACCGGTAGCTAATTCAGCTCGTCGAGGACTGGATGGACATGTTCGGATCTTGCGGTACCCGTCAGGCCACGTGCTAAATCATTTTGTACACGCTGCAGCTTGGTGATGTTTTTGCCAGACGTCCCGTAGAGTGGTGAGTTGCAATATTATAGCCTTATCGATACTATGCTACAGGTCATCGTGTTGGTTATGTCACGACTCAAAAGTGGTCGAATGTGTCGTAGAGCACTGATATGAAAATTGCATGCTCTGACTCTATTCTGCACGTGGTGATCAAACGACATATTCTGGTCGAGTATGGTGCGGAGGTTCTTTAGATGAGTATAAAACTGAATCCTGTGACTTTAAATACATGTTTGGTATACATACATATAACGGTTGGGAGAGGAAGCGCGGCCATTCGAATTAAATTCCCCGCCACGGCTAACATCAGTGGCGAGTGGTATCTGGACCCAATCATGCCTCACTTCACCAACCACGCAGCACAATCGAGCGTGGTCAAACACGAACTCCAATGACCGATACGGCGTGGGGAGGCCTTCATCCAGCAGTGGATTGACCAAAGGTTCTGAGCAGAAACACAACACGTGGACTCATGCAGAGTTGGTGGCACTATATAACCTTTAATAATACAGCCATCAAAGCGCTCGCAACATCATTACGCTATACTTGATATAAATACTCCGATATGGTATTGTATATTGGTATTGTAACATTGCAATACTGCATTTAACGTTATGTACACAGCATACCGCTCGTTATACTATTACACAGTTCGAAACAATTGCTAGTGTAATGTAAAAGCGCGTAAGCAATTAATGAGAATACTAACAAACGTATACGCCATGGCAAACAAAAACAACCGAAGAGAAAATCATAAAATGAGCATCCCAGTAACCCTGGCCGCGTGTCGCACATGCGGACGTGTTCTATAGCTGCCTGCACTTGTTATGACGTACAACGCTATTCGCAATAGCAGCTGTAGAGGTGCTCTCCAGGGGGGCCCCCTTGTATAAAAACGGGGGCGCTTTTCTGATTGCATTTGCTGGAGAACAGTGGGCGCCCGCTCAATGGGAGGTCGCTCCTTCTCAGCTGCTGCTTCTACAGTCTGGAATTACACCCCCACCCACCCACCCACCACCTTTTAATCCGTGCTGCCGATTCCCTGCTCCAGTTGAAGTCTAGGCTGAATACCCAACGTCTTTCCCCCTGCATTTGACCGTCTTCTATAATGTAACCATTACAGTACACTACTATATGGTTGTGTATACCCTCCCAGTTGTCGGTGCTTTCTAGTCATGCGCACGTGCTACATCCGAAACGCCAGTACTCGTGAGATGCATCTGGACTAAGACACAATGTACATCATATAGAAATCCGCCACAGTCAATCCACTGCTGAATGAAGCCCGCTCCAAGCCGCCGCCATATACCGCGATCTCGCAATGCCCCAATCCATCCAGCAGCCACACAACGAGATGATGTAATTGCTCCATCTCCCTCGGTGGACGTGCTCTCGGACGCGTTCCATTCCATGGCTGCAACTCGGTCACTATTCTCGACCATTGGCCATCGTCCAAGCCCGCGATGCATTTTCCGAACAGTCGAAATCGTGACTTTTAACCTGCGTGATCACGTAAACCTCAGCTCACGACGTGGTTCGGAGTGGCGTTCTGCGCTCTGGAGACTCGGTAAGACGCGTGTATATGACCCGTGTGTATTTGTGTGAGTGTGTGGTTTAAAACAAGCAGCCAATGCAGCGTGAACATCAGACGGCAAAAGTGGCCGAGCGTGGTTGGAGGCCCCAACATCTTCTGGTATACCGAACCTGCCTTAATAGGTCCATGCCCCCAACAGTCTACAAGATTACATGGGGACCCTTCGTGTCGTTGCTCCATGTGTGTCTGTTTGGGGAGCGGTCGTGCTACAAGCACCGGCGACGTGGTTTCAACGCCTGCCCGTGGCTAACACATCAAAAGGTGAGTAATACGTGAACCTGTTTTGGACCTCCCCTGGGTCGACCCAGCCTTGCACGAGTACCATGTGTCATGTTGTAACCATCGGCACTTGATAGACAACAGCTTGTCCGGCGGCTCTGCGGGCATCTTTGTGTGTACTCTTTTTTATATTATAAGGGCTCTGTGACTTTTCACGCGGATATGTGACATGCAAGATTCACGGCGTCAAGGAGGAACGGGCTTGTTGCAGTCACCATACTCCACCCTTGAATGGCACACGCTGTATATTGCGCCCACACACACACTACGTGGGGTGTACAGTGATTTCGAGGGTGTCAGGCACATCTAACGTGTTGTTGGCGCATGGCTTCATTTCTGGTGGAAACCTGCCCCAGTGTCAACGGTGCCAACAATGGGCCGTAACCCATCCATTATCGCCGTGATGGGCCATTCCACGGTGACGGAAATTGCAATCGGAGGAACGCGTGCGTATTGTTCGATATGGCGATTAAATCATGGATCACACCGCTCTGTCGCGTGAAACAATTTAGGAATTATAAAAGTCCGAATGATGATTAACCCCCAAAGCAATCCGTATTGTCGACTCCATTACCCCTGTTCAAGTCCAGGCTCCAAAACAAACCTTTTTGTCTTTTGACTGATCGCCTCTTGCTCTTTATAGAATAAATCTCCCCCTCCCCCGCCGTTCCTGTATATCGTCTTGAGATATGACCCCATTCAGACACTATATATAATTCCAAATGATTTTGTATATATACAGTAGTTGTCATTGTCAGGTTCTCTTTCCAGCGCTGTAGTTCCACTACTGTCTCATTGATTACATGATAATTCAACGCAAATAAATACATATATTCATACATACACTTACATGGAACTATAACGGACAATTGCCAAACTATTTTCGTGTTGCTTCTTTTCGTCACAAATTCCTTCCAATATGGCAAAACAAACATCACGACGGGACGCAGTTTCTACTCAGCATTATTGAGACACAATAAGCAGACACGTGCCATCCCTTGGCTTGCCACTCCGTAGTTTGTCTCGACCATCTGTCATCGTTATTGTATTTCGATGTCCAAGAAAATGACGGTGGCAGGAAGCCAAATAGATGGAACGCGTCGGAGAGCATGGAGGAGATGGAGTGATTAAATCAGCACGTGTCCAGGTAGATGCTAGGTGGATCGTTGCATCGCAGAATAATCCACACGTGGGACAACGTATCGTGGCTGCTGATGCCGACGAAGATGATGACTGAGTATTGTTACGAGTATTATTATTTTACGAGTCACCGTAGCGGTATTATATGTGTTGTATGCTTGTACACGTGCCGAATGTTGATGATACGCTCAGCGAAAACATCGGTGCAGCATCGAACAGCGCTCGCTGCACGCGTGCTATCCTCACAACGCCTATGTACCGTACCGTGCGTGTGTTAACATTAGAGTAGATGATTTCAAATGTGCGACACACGCACGCGCACACATACTGTTCCTATACGATGTTTGTGTTAATCACGCTTTATATAGGCTACGGAAATATGATGCTCGCGAACTAAATTGGCGCACTTTGACAGCAATAAGCCTAATTTCTCAAATGTAACACTGCTGCTGCTGCTATTAGGTGATATGCGCCGATATAACCCTGAAAATAGCATATATCTGGCATGCTTGCATGCACACATACACTAACACACACACATGCGCACACACACGCGTACAGCCGGGTGTGTGTGTGCAACCAATGATCGAGCTTCAACGAGCTCGACTGAGCAACATTGATTATGCTACAGGTTATCGAGAAAAGTTCCGCTTAAGCTCATTTAGAACTTATTTTAGAAATGATTTTAGACCCTCCAATATACCACGTGATCCGCACGTGACGCTTGGGAAGTCTCATCCAGCAGTGTATTGACAAAAGGGCTGTACACGAGCGTGCAAGTGTTGTACTGTATATGCTAAATATATGTGGTTGGAAATAGACGACACGTGCTTAGGGGCTGTCGGAGCCCCGTGGTGCATTGACTGCAGTTTACAGCCTACCCCTATTATAACAAAAACGAGATGACATAGACCTATCAAGTGCTGCGGCCAGTCAGCCTTGAGCCGATACTCAAGTTTCAAGTTGATCTTGTTTAACCAGGTGACAAATCAAAGGATCAGGATTCGTCTAATTAGCAAGAGTCAACTGGGTCATTGGTCTACCAGCAGTGGTGTGGATGTTTGGTACGTCTCATCTGAATCGAGTAATTGACGGCTAATTTTAATTTTTTTGTAAATGTGTACCCGACGAACAGCCGACACAAGCGGTGAACGTCCTCTACCGCTTTACTATTTGGGCTGTGCACATGACGATAGTTTTATTCAGCTATCGGTCGCACACGTTACTCTTGTTATGGGGCGGGGGTTAACAGTGCGAAAATAAAGTGCATTTAAAAACAACAGAATTCGACATAATTACAGGCGAAATAAACAACGAACGCGTTTTCACCATTGAAAAGAGAAGAGAGATAGAGATACATGTCTTGGATTTTCAGGTTTGATTTTGAGTCCAGGCTCCTGCACTCGCGGTTGTGAGATCCACGCGTAGTATCTATACGTACACGTGTGTGTACTGTGCACGCATGCAGTCACATTTGTAAGGGAATACATATCACATTCGTGGTTATGATGAGCGAGCTACCACTCACGCAATTGAGTTTTTAATTAAGTGTAACTATGCACACAGCCACGAATACAAAGCAACACTTTACAAACCTCTGCGGCTGTGTGCGGTTTTTTTTGTCAGCAAGAAGGTCACCTATCAGTGGTGTCCGTGACAGATAGGCCGAGGTGTAAATGATCGGAGTGGAGTGGCGCTCCAGTGGTTAAGCGCTATAAACTGGGGCGACTTATGTGGTATCAGAACCGGTCTTAGGCTATCTAACCTTTCACCAACCGGTACTGACCAACGTGGTAAAGTATGGCCAGGCAACCTACCGACGAAAGGCCTTCATCCAGAAATGGATTGCGATAGGGATGCGAGTTATTTCATAATTATTATTTTTTATAATCGAATGTTTATGTTCTAAAAGTGATTTCCCGTCTCTTGAAAAACCCCGTAGTCGTCTTATATGAGCTGCTTACTGCCGAAGCTGTACAATAGGAAGGAGTCGATGTATTTAGTAACATAAGGCTTAAAGACAATTTCTTGTTTTAACGAATTGCCCACTTAGTGTTACAAGTGTCCGGTATATTTTAGCGCATTTCTCCGGAAAACTTCATGGGTAATTACTCTAAAGGATGTTGACGATTTTACATTAAACTGCACCCACTTTCAAATCGATATATCGTTTGCGTTAAACACAATCTAGTAATAAAATCATGAAATCAAACGCCCGTATTATTAGGAGAAATCTGTCTCATCTTTTGCAAAACTCACAGAAATAATACGTGTGTGTGTGTATATACCGTATACTGTATATATAAATCGAGCACGTCTTTGCAACGACCTAAAGTAATACTGCCACAATGTACTATATATATGAAGAGCGATAAATTTGTAAACACAACGAGACATCGTACAATCAGCATAGGCCGTGTAACACGAATGAGGCCACCCATCAACACTGAGAATGAGTGTGTGTATGTATGTATGTATGTGCGCGTAAATCTTGCAAAAACACCACTGCGTTTGTCATTAACACTGCCTTACAATAAAAACAAATGAACTGGCTGGACAAACAAAAAAATTATATAATACCGACGTTTCAGGAAATTACCCTTCTTCAGAACGGGACCATTCTATATATGTTTTCTCATGTAAGAGAGTGTTAGATCCATTATTTAAGGGCGTGAATGTCGATTGCGGCGAGTTTATCTTTAATATATCTATGTTTGTGCTTGTGTACTACTAACACAGTTCCTTATTTTTTTGTATACATTTGTATGTACTTGTACATGTGTGTGTGTGTGTTTGTGTTGTATACAATGTCATCGTTGTGCCATCGCGTTCGCGGCTTGGCAAATGACCACCGCGAAGCTACTCGGCTCCGTAGTAGCCGTAGCACACCACATCTTTCAGACAGCTCTTTTCGAAATCGGTCGAGGCGGGGGGTCCCGTGGGGCCCCCCTTCGCCACGGCCACGCACTCCGCGTCTACCCCCGAGAGTCGCCGCTTCTTGCCGCCCCCACCGACCCCTCCGACACCGCTCTCGAACACCCCAGAGTCCGTGGACTCTGCCGACTTGCTGGATGGAGGACTCTCCAGCAACTTGTCCGGCCTCAGATCCTGCTCCGGGACGGGGCCGGCCGCGCCGATCTGCTGCAGCTCCTGGAACATGGAGCCACCTCCAGCCGACGACGACGACGAAGACGACGTTGTCGACGACGTTGACGGAGGCTGCGACGCACCTGCCAAGGGTGCGATCACGGCGGAAGGCGCCGTCGCCAAACCCGACTGCTGCTGCTGCTGCAGAGGCGACGGCTGCTGCAGAGAGGCCGCGTGATGGTGGTGATGGTGGTGGTGGTGATGGGGAGCGCGACTCGACCACGGCTTGCCCCAGTCGCTGGCCGCCGCCGCCGCGGCTGCGGCCGCCGCGGTGTCGCTCGAGTAGTAGCCGAGCGAGCACGCGGAGCTGGGGGGCAGCGCGAGCGACTTGAGGCCGTAGGGCAGCTGCAGCGAACCCCCGGCTCCGCTCCCGACCCCGACGCCAACTCCGGCGCCGTTGCTCGCTCCGGCCGATCCCACGCCGCCAGTGTCCGCCTCGTACGCTTGCTGGAACGGTCCCACGAGCCAGCGCTGGACCGACGCCGGCCCGCACCCGCCCAGGTCACCGCGGTCGGCGTCGGAGAAGCCGGCGGCGGCCGCGGCGAGCTTCGAGCTGTACGCCGACGAGCCGAAGCGCTCGGCGAGCAGGGAGCTGCTGTCGTAGCGCGGTCCGCCGAGCAGCGAGTGATGCCGCGGGACGTCGTGAGGTGACGGCGTGAGACGGTCCGCGTCCAGCCCCGGGTACATGCTGCGCATGGGCACGAACGCACGCGCGCGCGCGCACGTGTTAAGGAACCAGGGGCGCGCAGGTGCAAACGCGCCTGTTGCAGTCGCGTGCGATAATGAGCGGATAGAGCTGTGGACGTACGCGCCCGCCCGTATACTGCCACGTGCGCGCGCGTGCAGGGCGCACACACAAACACACACACAAACACACACACACGTGCAAAGACGAATACAAAGATCCACTTATAGCCTAAATTTACTTTTGGGGCAAGTGTTGTTAGCGAGCACAAATGAAGGTCGGCACGGTACACGACGGGGTGGGTGGCTCGTCCGACCGCCTTTGTCTCCCCAGTGGTGATGTATACACCACCGCACCGGTTACTCGTTTGAGTCGACCTAGGGGACGCCCAGGACCGGCTCAGAGAATAATTAATCGTCACTGCTTTTGGCCGTGAGCGGGAACGAATTCGGGTCGCTGGGCTCGTAGCGCAGAGCGCTCGCCCGTGTCACGATCACACACACGCATACACACACGTATGTACACAACCATGCGCAGCAGGTAATTTGCACGCACGCAGTCGTGCATGCAAGTGTGTACACGTGCGCGCACACGGACACGTGCGCACACAGGACCGCGTACGTGCAAGTGTACACACGGGGTACGAACTACAATTGGATACAAACGCGTACGTCCACAGCCACGTGTACGCAGAGCCACGCGTATCCACATGCGCACATGACTAGGTGCGAACGCATGCACACGCACGGCCATATACGCGACGATGCATTTAGTCGACGACAAACGCAAATGCACGCGCGCACACACGTGTGCATTTACACGACCAAACACACCCACGTACACACCAATGCGCAACCTGCATTATGCACGACCACACACGTGTCGACACAGGCACATTCAAACACGTGCTCATTCAAACGCATGTATTTGCACACGTCCACACATATGTATGTGATCACACAGACGTGTGATCACATACATCACAGAAACATATGCGCATACTCGACTATTTACACGCAACTATATAGATCATGCACGTGCAAGAGACATGTGCATTTACACAACACGAACGCATGGACACGCATGTACGCATATGTGCACATGCATGCATACACCACATACACAGCCATACATAAACGTATGCGCATACATGACCACAGACCCACATACACAACAAATGTGCACACGTCTGCACTTAAATTTAAACATTTACAAAGACAAAGACCCACCCTAAAGCCTTAACAGACTGTTGGGGCAAGTGCAGTTAGCGATCACCTATGAAGGCCGGACGGAACATAATGGGGTGGGGTGGCCAGCACCATGCCCAGCCGCCTTTGTCTCCCTAGTGTCGATGTTAACACACCGCACCAGGTACTCATTTGAGGCCCAGGACCGGTTCTGATAATCGCCACTGGTGTTGACCAGCACTCCCCTGTCGCAAAACCTCACGAAGTTGCAAGCGTACACACAAACACACGCGCAGTCATATGAATATGTACATAACCTCGCAGTGGTCACACACAACACAGCCGAATACAGTGATTCCACCCTATAGACATTTAGACTGTTTGGACAAGCGCTGCAAGCGAGCACCTGTTAGTAGAGGGCCGTCTTTGTCTCCCCGAGTATTGATGTTTTCACATCGCACTGGGTAATGGTTTAAGTCTGAGTCAGCCTAGGAGAAGTCCCAGAACCGGGTTTGTCATTACTCGCCACTGACGTTAGCCAAGTTCGTAGCGCAGTGCGCTATCCACTGCGCCAATGCTCTCAACGCAACAAAGACAAATACCCCCCATATAGCCTTCACAGAGCGCTGGGGCAAGAGCTGTTATCTAGCGAGCGCCTATGGAGGCCGACACAGCGCACGAGGGGGTGGGTGACCAACACCACTACACACACAGCCCCAAAGGGACAATCACGCACAACCCACACGCCGCCTCGTTTGGGATATTCGTGCGCAGCACGGCGTATGGAACTGTCCGATGTGATACCCCACTGATTTATTGAATGGTGTAAGCAAATACGACGGGCTCTGTTAGACCGAGTGTTATCAGGAAAGGGTTGACATATTTATTACGTGCATTGAGATTAGTGAAAAACGTGTAGAGGTTTTGAAAAAAAATCGCCTATATTCCTTCCCTATTGTTTTAGCGAGGTATCTATAAATTGATCACCCTGTACATGACCACTAATCAATCACAATGCATAGTGGTGTTGGCTTGTAAAAAGGTATCTTAAACCCCCAAAACATTACATTGAGAATGTATTTCTGATTCAACTTCAATCCCTTTCGTATTTCTCGCGCTTCGATAAACCGCGAGTAAAATTAACAGAATACAAATTATCATTCGTGTAATTGTATCCATGAAAGCCTCGCTCTTTTCATGCAGGGTCCTGCTACATCGTGACGTTTGATCACTCCCTCTTCAGGAGAAGTCCTCCATGGAGAAGGCAGGCCAATCACTCCGTGGAAAACCCACGCAGGTAAGTGGATAACACAAAAAAAGTCTGTCGCACAAGACGGAAAGACGGAGCCACTTGCTGTACTGCCATCAGCTGTCCACCCCCACTGCCCAGCGGGTCTGGGAGGTAAACTAACCTACGTGATCCACCAAGCCCTTGCGTGCAACGCGATCTTGTATACTGGTCTGTACATCCTCTGCGCATTGAGTGTACACTATATGTGTGAGTGCATCGTTTCGTGTTGGTGTCACGAGGACGGGCACCGTCGCACATTTGCAACCTATCTTCTTGGTTGGTTCTTTCGGTAAAGTCACGTAGAATGGAAATAATAAAATAATAAAAATTTAACATAATAAAATAATTCTCACGACGTTTCGGCCACAACGCAAGCAGCCGTCCTCAGGTAGAGAACAGGTCTGTCGAGAAGACATAGTCTGAATGACACACCCCAGGCTTGGAGCGTCTATTTTAGACCGAAATTTATTTGCGACCTAGTTATACCAAATAAACATTATCTTAATTTATCCAGCAACGCCTGAGTGAGTATCAAAAGTATTGTCCATGAGGGTCTTGCAACATTGTGATGTTTCCCCATGGAACTCTACGGGCATGTCCCGCTAGGCGAAGACCTCGGGGCCGGCCCAGGACTTGCTGGCGGGACTATGTCGCTCGGCTGGCCTGGGAACGCCTGGCAATTCCCTAGGAGGAGCTGGAGTCTGTGGCCAGTGAAAGGGAGGTCTGCACCGCCCTAGTCACCATGCAGCCGCCGCGACCCCCACCAGGACAAGCGAATTGAGAAACCAACGAACTTCCCCCCTCGACCATTATATATACGGGGTAGTATTTCTTGTGATCTCTCATTTACTCTCTCATTTACTTGATACAGCTGTCGTGGCTGTGACAGTTCCACCAGAAGACGGAGGCTTGTGTTGCTTCCAAAACGTCGTGAATTTTTTAATTTGTTTTATTTTACTTTTATTAATTTAAAATTTTTTACCTACGTGACTTTACCGAAAAAACCTAAGAGTATAAACCAACGAACCTTGACCTATTACCTACAGACCAATAGCATATGCACAGTTTCAGTGTTTACAATCGCTTACACTCTTTGGGGTGATATACAGCCTATACGACTAATCATAGCAAGACGAGTCCTAAGAAAAGGGCACTTCATGAATCACGTGAAATAATGCTAGTTTCGTGAATATTTTTTTTATATCATCATCATTATCGTCACCATCACTTAAACTGAATGCATTCATTAACACGTACATTGTGAGTTAAGCGCGCATGTTTACGTGGTCGTGTAGGATTTTGATGAAAAATGTGATTGTCATGTATGAATTGTTTGTTAATGAGACCAAATCGCAAAGCTTACGAGTCGTAGTTGTCACGAAATCCCTTCGCGAACGGGTTGTGGTCGATTTTCAGCTGCGTGATCTGCGGAATAAAAAAAAGGTATTTTTGTCAAACTAGTTGAATAACTTCGTTATTTTTTTTTTTACTTTATTAATATACACATACGTTGTACGTTTTATTGGAATTACTATCCAGTGCAACGTCAAACATCCGCACTGACGAATTAACCACCCAGTTCAGTACAGAGTTTGTGCATGGTGTATCATAACCCATCCTTCACACATCCGGTTATAACTCAGTCCCCAGCGAGTCGGATATGCAACATCGCACGTACTGTACATACATGACGGGCAGTTTAAAGGTTATGAAAATAAAGAATGCTGTATGTAATCGTATTTCCTTTTCCATAACATTAGGATGCAGTCCTGAAATACTCTCCGCTGTTAAAGTGGTCGGGTCTGGAAGACCTGGACACGTAATTTACTACTATCATGAGCCAAGAATGTCTGTGTGTCCCGCGCGTGACGTCACTCCACGTCGGCCAGCCCCCCTCATTAATAATCATGACCAGGTGACCTCCTGCACATGGACCCCCCCCCCTCATTAATAAGCATGTGCGGGTGACGTCACTCCACATGTAGCACCCCCCCCTACTCATTAATAATCACGAGCAGGTGACGTCACTCCACATCGAACAGCCCTCTTAATTAATAATCATTATAAGGTGACGTCCTCCAAATGGACACCCCCCCCCCCCATTCATAATAATTAGCGGGTGACATCACTCCACATGGGGGGGGGGGCGAGGCGCCTCCACCCCCATCCTCGGCGTCAACTCACAACCCTCACTACAAAGGCAGAACCCTCACGTCACGCGATCTCCGTAACGCTGTTGAGACATCGAAGTAAAAAGGACGTCATGATGAACAAGGGATTATAACCTTTAAATGAAATAGGTCTGTGTCCCCGCGGCCTTACAAATTGCACACGAATTGATGCAATGAATATTACGTCGCGGTCTGATTTTCGCTTGCAAGTTTCAGATTTACTGAAATACACCCGTCCTTGGACAGGCAAAAGGCTAGCAACGTCTATTTACTTACAAAAATGTGACCGTTTGATCCCTTTAGGTAATTCGATGTTAAATGTCTTGTGTGAGGTCATGCAAGAGCCTGCAGCATGTATAGCAAGTAATCATGACGGGTCTCTTAGACACAAGGATGCATCATCGGGTTAACCAAAAATAGGTTCCTCTGTGAATATTTCGTCTTTTGAAGAAACCATTCTTACAAAGTGCTGCCCGCATAATTTGGCACGTACCACTACTAAACTTCTAACTGTAGACCCATACTGCATATGCGGCGTGCACCTATAGGGCCATATACAGGATGAATACGTCACAAATATAAATGACCTCATTAACCCACAAAAATACAACACGGGTCACATATGAAGCGCTGTTAATATATTGCCGCTTTGGCTCTTGTCTCCCAGGTGTTCATGTTGACAACGCATTACATAGGCCCCGCTTGTTTTTATATCGATTCTACCTAGAGGGAACGCCACTTCAGGATCAACTACTAATTGTCACTGTTATCGTGCATCACGTTCGGGAATCGAACCTGGCTAAGTGTGGGGGGGGGGGGCGTAGAGCACAGCACGTTCCGCTCCGCGCGTGCAAGCGGATGAGGTCTGGCTTGGCCCACATTCAACCGGCTTTAGCGTCACACTCCGAGGGGGGTGGGAGGAGGGGGGGGATTGATTGGTTCACTGGTGACGGGGGACGTCTCTGTGTCAGTGTTTAGCACGAGACTTAACGCGATTCAGCACTTGTAATCTGACCTGCCCTATGAGTGAAACCAATCAACTTTCATCCGGGACAGTACACGAATTCCAAAGTGTATATGTATATTTTTTGGGGCTCTTTCTAGTCCAATGCATTTCGACTCGACTGCACGCCAAATTTCGCCATTCTGCATGGCCCTTGAAGAACGTTACAAGAATTTGTCTCAGTTACCATCGTCTAAATGTATTGGATGCGTAGACTATAGGTGATGTCAATCACCACTGCAAGCCGTTCACTTTACACAACACAAGGCTCATCACGATGTATTCAACGCACTGATGATCATTGCTATATCCCAAATATATAACGGAAGGTCCGTGCCAATAACAGCTGGCAATTCACCGGCAATTTGTTCGAGCAATCCTGTCGGCTGATGAGCCATTGTTTCGTTTTCAGCTCATAGTCTTAGCAACGACTAGAAAATGCTTATGCTGTGTTTTTGTTGCAGGGATGTGCAGACGATGAGGATATCAGACGATGATAGCCTCCGTATGGCCGTACACAGTGTATAATGTAGAGCTGTCGAGTGCCTATTCAACCAGATACGGTGCCCGACGGTGGTGGTGTGGCTAGCACAACGCCCGACCGCCTTTGTCTACCCAATGACGAACTTTACACACCGCACCGGAAACTCATCCAAGTCGCAGTTGATCGAGGGGGAGTCTAAGGACAGGTTCTGATTCGACTTTCAGCTGGTCTTAAAATATAAGGAAACGGCTCTTAATCTTGTCGCTACATGTGTAACTAAGCTACGTGTCCAGGACTCTCTAACACGAGTTGGAACCTTAGTTGGTGATGTTTTTTTTAAACATTACTTTAAATCGTTCAACAGCGCTCTAGTGACATCACTGAGGAGCCAGACTCAGCAGTGACATTAATGGAGTGATCTTGGAATTATTTTCTAGTCTTTTTTTTCTCATGAACGTAGCGTCAAACTTTCGTGAGGAAGCTCTGGGACATAATCATATATTTTAAAATTTGATTAAATAAATAATACTACTACATGTTACGTACATATTTACACTATACGCATATTCTTTGCGTCTTTCGGTAAAGCCACGTAGATAGAAAAATAATACAAATATCACGACGTTTCGATCGCAACACAAGCAATCGTCATCAGGTGACAAAATGTAGCAGGAGCGCTGCTGAAACAGGATGTTATAAAGGTTTGAGATGGGTGTAGCCCAAGGGTCATAAGCGAAGTGGGCGGGGCTAGAGATGGAATTTGCATGTAAATGTAAGATCGCAGAGCTGATGTACCTCCACGAATACGAAGCTGTAGAGGTGGACATTGTATTGTGAGAGATTAGCATGTCAATGTAAGAAAAACGAAAACCACCGCCACATCGAGGATAACGAGCAACGGTGGCTGTGTTAGTGAGACAACTCAGAGAGTCGAAAATAACTGCTAACATCGGCAGGTAGGATGGAAACATCACAGCTAGTTATGACTTCAACTGGTTAATAACGTCCTTCCAATGATTGCTTTACAGTAACAGGCTCAATGTCTCACTAACACAGCCACCGTTGCTCGTTATCCTCGATGTGGCGGTGGTTTTCGTTTTTCTTAAATTGACATGCTAATCTCTCACAATACAATGGCCATCTCCACAGCTTCGTAGCCGTGGAGGTACATCAGCTCTCCGATCTTACATTTACATGCAAATTCCATCCCTAGCCCCGCCCACTTCACTTATGACCCTTGGGCTACACCCATCTCAAACCTTTATAACATCCTGTTTCAGCAGCGCTCCTGCTACATTTTGTCACCTGATGACGATTGCTTGTGTTGCGATCGAAACGTCGTGATATTTTTTATTATTATTTTTATATCTACGTGGCTTTACCGAAAGACCCAAAGAACATTAATTCCTGCAGTCACGAAAGCTTTAAGTCAAGACGATAAGTATAATTAGTTTTGCTTCCTGTTTTAACCGTGGACTTCACATAGCCAATGATACCACTCATGTCATATGAAACACGTACAGTCTGGATCTCCCCGAATCTCGTATCTGTACTTGGGTTGCCACTTGACACTGTTTTTCAGAATCAGAATCTTTATTTTTACTGGAGGAATCTGATGAGCTATAGTGCTCTTTTTCACAGATCTCCAATAGGGGCAGGCCAGAAAGTTATAACAACAAACAATTCAAAACACATTAGGAGTGCAAAGTCTAAGAAAGTTAAGCAAATCACACAAAAAACTAAACTATTCTATTTTACGAGGGAAAGTCCACTCAGCCACATAGCTCTTTTCCGAAGCGACCTGGCCACACATGATAGCTCAACGAAGTGGCTTATCGTGTGGAAATTTATAGCAGCCAAATAATCAAAATAATCCAAAAGCATGTTCCTAAATGTGAAGGGAAAAATCAGAGGACCCCCGAGAAAAATCCACGCGATCATGGGGAGAACATGCAAAGTCAAAATAAACAGGCGTCAGGGTAGGCATCCAACAACCCCCGACCTCCTGCATATCAGGCGAGGAAATGTGGAAGCCTTCCCGGGAGATTAACCCCCCCCCCCCCCCCTGTTTTTGTTAGTTGCACAATAATACACCACTCAAGATCATGCATTTGCATGCAGTTCCCCCCCTCCCCCCTATTGACATTGGGAGATATTCTTCTTCCCATGATATGTCCCGGTTGTTTTTTCCCCCTTCAAAGGTTGGCAACTCTACTGTGTGCCGAGTCATGAGTGAAACAGGGCGCGACGCGGAGCGGTGAGATGAGACGAGATACATCATCTCTGTAAGCCGTGGGGGTGGGTTTTTTTCCCCCATTCGCAGGGGAGGAAGGCAAAATGGGTTTTTAGAAATTATCTCGCGCCACTTGGAAGCTAAGATGAGCAATTAACGCACGGGCTAATTAAACTGTAAGCGGCTTCTGTAATTCCAAACACGCTTAGTCTTGTTGTTCTTTATTGTAAAGGTGCAGCGCTGCATGGTGTTGCTCTTTACAATGCTGACGGACGGGCGTGCCCGAGTGAGAGTTCTATGACCTCTAAGAGACAACCTCTAGAGAGTATAATATCATGGGAAGATTATTTAGGCCTACTCTTCCACTCCGGCCAGGCGTCCCGGAAGAGGCGGGATTATTCACACTTTATACTCTCTGGTTCTTTCGGTAAAGTCACGGAGATAGAAAAATAAATAAAAAAACACGACGTTTCGGTCGCAACACAAGCGGCCGTCTTCAGGTCACGAAAGCTTAAAATCAAGATAATCTACACTTTATACAACTACAGTACACTGCGATCTGCCGATCGACTGTGGTTTACCAATTTATATTGCTGGGTAGACAAAGGCGGGGATACTTAAGAAACTTGCCCATTGTTTCAATTGCCAACGTCAGGAGATCAAATCGAACGAGTGACCACCGGCTTGCGAGCGCGAGTGTGCTAATCATCACGCCAGACTGTTCATGGTGCTCCAGCAAGTAATGATATGTGGCGCGTATGTCAGTGCCTACGACACGCATTATTAAGGCGACGTCAATCAGTGCGACTCCCCGCGGTCCGTCTTCGATTGTCTACGAACCGTCTGGCACGTTGCGCAATGCGCACGTGAATGGGGGACATTGATGCGTGGGGAGGGGAGCGAGATGGAGTTTGAGAAGGTCAGTGCAATTAAACGGCATCAAATATACGTGGCATGCTGTACAAATAATAATAATCCACGCATGCCACCAGATCAAGCCACCACCATCCAAGGAGTTTCTTCCAATTGGGCTCCGCGAACAAATAATAAACTACAGTATTAAGTTATTAAGGGATGTTGCTTACTGGCGATAAGAACTTGCTAATTGACTGAGTCCCCCCCCCCCCCCACCACGCTGAATACTCAGCCGCCCTTGTGCAGTTTTAGTCACCGCAGTAATTGTTGGCACACATGTTTTGTTCGCACAATTAACGGTGGACGTCGCAGCCTTTCTTCATTCACACAGGGGGTGAGAGCCAGAGTGGAATGCATGCAACGCAAAAGCAGATCGTATCGTTGTTCATCCCTGTGTTTCGTTTCACATTGGTTTCAAGTTTATTTAACATTCACCGTGGCGTGCGTGCCCCTCTGAATCTTAGTACCCCTCGCCCCCCCCCCCCACGCTGCAGGGCTGTTCAATACGTCCAAGTCACGTTTTCAATGAGGGCGAGATTTTTCCCGTGAGCCCCTGAGCCCCAAAGTCGCAACGGCATTGGCTTAGTTGACGTGAGATCCAGACACAATACGCTCCGTGCAATGTGGACTGAGAGAATGGTATATGACGTGCGCCCCGATCATTTGTCTACACCCACGCAGCATCCCTTGGCTGCCTTCCCACAGGACCGAGCTCCCCATTTCTATTTCTCACCACCCCCAAAAAGCCTAAACCCTCTTCCAATGACACTCCGCCGACTCAATTTTCATTCGACCGCAGACTAACTCAATCACATCTCAATTCAACTACAAAAAAACTCTATAGTCTTCAACTTCACTCCACCAACCCAATCTCTGTCAACTTCCACTACACCAAATCAATCACGTCTAAACTCCACGAAAACCAATCCAAATATATATTAACCCGATCTTTCCAACCACCACTCAATTCCACTCCACCAACAAAACCACTTCTCAACTTCACTCCATTCAGCCCATTCACAAAATCTACTGCACCATGAAGATAAACGGGGCAACTTTCCTGTGTGTGATTTCATTGCAGTCTTCAAATGCTGTGCAAAGTCCCACGCCAAACAAAGTTGCACATCATTGACCCATGGTCATCTATGAGGGTCCATGACTGAACATTAAGAATTAATTATGAGGCCCGACCCCTATCCCTCCCTTCTCACCTAGGAGGCCTGGTCCAAGAAGATCATCAGTATATCTAGGGAAGGAACGGGTTTGTTCGGCCGATAATAAAAAAAAATAACCAGGGATGTTGAAATAAATGAGGGTGAACGAAAATAACGAATTCGAGTGGGTTATTTGTCTTCATTAAAGACGGATTCATCAAATTTTCTCATCACACATTTCCTCGTCGTCACCTGCATAAGGAATCGGGCATGTTTAACCAGGTTGTCTTCACGAGCACGTGACACCCAGTCAGCTCGGAGCGCTTGTGACTGGTAGCAAAACCATTTTAAAATGTGGTTGAACCAAGTTGTTTTGTCTCTGAGCAACGTGCAGCTTCGTTTACTCCGTGCTGAGGCCGTGGTAAACACAACAACATGGGCAACGCCAGAATATTGTTGATACCGTGATATTACGGGAACTTTTTGCACTGCTTGTAAAACCCCTCCATCAACAAACCTTTGCTCAAGATGAGGGTGCTTCTTTTCTGCTGTCACGTGGTCTGGAATTCCCTTTGTCTATCCGTACACTCTGCTGATACCACCTGTTCAATGCAAGGGAATTACAACTTTCTTCTACATTGGCACTCTTCTAATCTTAAGAATTGTTTTCATACAATATTCTACCGTAACGTATATAATTCTACCCCCCCCCCCTCTCTCTCTCTCTTTGCTTAGAGTACATTTCTCAAAACTCCACTTCTTATTCAAAATCTCCAGATGTGTATGTACTGTATTCCCTGTGTATGTAAAGCGTATTGAGATGTGGCCTAATTTAGAAGCGTCATAAATACAAACTTCATTGCAAATTGTATTGTTTTACCGGTCAGCTGAGTTCTAGCCTCAGCCGCGGCTATCAGCAGTGGCGATTGGTAGGTGAATCAATCCTCGTCGAGACCCTGGCCGCACCTCACACCTTTGCTCCCAGCCGTCACCAATTGGCGCTGACCAGCGTGCTGAAGTTTTTGTCAAATAACCCATCAGCGGATTGACTCAGAGCGGTAAATCTGTGCAAGTTTAACATTGGTTAAAGGGGACTACAATGCGCATTTGTTTCAGGAATTGCTAATGGATTTTTGCATATATATCCACATATGCTCTGTAATTTTTACACGTTTTTTGTGGTGGTGGTGGTGTTGTTTAAAACGTATGGTTTTCAGTCCCGCACTATTATGATGGGGGGGGGGGGGGGTTTCTCGTCATTTACAAATGTGATTGTTGGTGCAATCGACGGACTGGCGGGGCGTCTCACGTCCGTGTTCTGGTAGGCGGTGACCGCGATGAACTGCGTCTCGGGGAACGTGAAGGTCTGAGCTCGTCCCGGCTGCGTGGCATCCTCCACGCCCTCCTCGTTCACCTCCACCACGTGCAGCCGCGGCTGGTACTTGTGCAGCGACTGCAACACGATCATCTGCGAACAGAAGAATCGCATCCGCGTCCAGGCAGCCGTGGCAGGGAGCACGGGGAGCAGATGTCACGAACGTGTGGAAAACGTAAAAGTGCTGTTGAGTGGCTGGCCACTTTGCGTTTTGGTCCTGTGCTCAGCAACCGTGTCTTTTTATGAAAAAACCCAGTAGAAGCCGGATATAAGCACATCCCTTCAGAGCAAGGCCAGCTGTGCTTATATCAGAATTTGCCGTTTACCTCCCACCACTAGTGTTAATGCAAGCATGCGTTGCTTATAAGAGATGTGTGTGCTTAGCCGATGTAATTCACTATAATTTTTTCGCAGGCAATGGCGTATCGTGGTTGTCTTGAGCCTTGGTGCACGTCAAACTTATTTCGTACGACTGATGTCGATGCAGAGCAACAACTACAAATACTCATTCAGGTGGTCAAGGCAGACGACCGCCACAAGGGCAGTAGAGTGTTATCGCCGTGGTGATGTCTCCTTCGTATTCCGGATCGGGCATCGCGTCGTTATATGTTGCACCTTCCGTTCTGGATGACCGCAATCGGACACTTGGAGAGTTTTTAATTTTATATTTCTACATCATTTATCCGCATTTGTCATGGTTTGTAGGGATGCGGTTTAGGATGCACCATGAGCTTCGTGGAAGATAAAACGCAGGGATCTTCTGCGTTGGGTGTTTTTTTCTCTCAAGGTGTTTGTTTGCGAGTTAAGTTTTCGTGCAAGTAATGGAATGGGACACCCTTTTCAATTCTCCTCCCACCTCCCAGTTCTTCTTAACCGGGTGCCTGGATCCCTCCATCCTGTGGGTCCCGGTGCCGTTTCACTGCTTCCATACTCGATTGCTACGCCACTTACGCAAGGGTGTTCATGGAAGTATAGGGGAAGCAACTTGGGGGCTGGGGATAGGGTAAGCAACTTGGGAGCTGGAGATATGACATTGCAAGACAGTTCTGGTACCGAGACATGCACTGGAGTGGAAACCCAGAGGTCAGCGACGAAGGAGAAGCAAGACCTCGATCCAGTTGGATGTCGACTTAGCAAAAACGACGGCGTATAGCAGAAGGAAGGAAGCGATGGCGAGGCGCGGAGATATCGATGGCACTGCCGGTCATGAAATATTGACCTTGAGTCATTGCCATGTATGGCATTATCATATATAGTATATATGTGTGTGTTGTCATTTATGTACGGGTGTATGATGTATACGTTTAGGCTTGTGAAAGAAAACCAACTAGGCAATACTAAAATACAACATCAGCACTTGCGTTAATGAATATATAATCGTATCAATAAATCAATGACAATTCCTTCAATGAAAGTTAAGTAGTGCATCATTTTTATTCGCATTGACCATTTTGTGGTTTTTCTGTTTGCTCAATTGAATGGTCGCGGACATCCATCGCTGTCCATTTCAGTTGTGATACCTCCTCGTTGCGTGCTTCGCGGGGACAAACGATTGTGCGCCGCGAGTAGGGCTTAGCACAGGCAATGCCGCATACAAACACATCACGGTGTGGATTTACATCGCTTCTAAATGCGACCGCATCTCGATACGCTGTATAACACCGGTGGGCATATTTATTCTAGAGACAAACAGAGGCGGGCGGTCACTTGCAGAGGGGAGAAATGCAGCTCCTGCGACTGGACTTGAACACGGACAGAGTCAAGAGCACGGACGGCTGGGGGAGGAAAGGAGTTCCAGATAATTGGGGTCAGAAAATAATGGGCGACCTCCTACTAAGCGATGGCTGTCTGGGGGACGTAAGTATCGAAAATAGCTCAATTAACTTCAAAAACTCGACGTGAGCAGGAAAAGAGATTCATCCCTTCAATTGCTTCTTCAAGCCGCTGCTGGTGGCCTCCAGGTGATGGGACTCGATAGAGCCCCTCTAAGGAGGGTATTTGGCCTACTCCTCCACGCAAGCCGGACTTGAGTAAAAGACAAAGATTATCCGCGTAAGACGAGGCGCAGACCGACCATCACAATCGGCAACCACCTTCCACGTGTGGAATTCACAGCAGGGACTGGTCGTGCAGGCTGGATTGACACAAGCAACTCACAGGGAGTAGGGTATGTATATGGTAATCAGTCAGTATTCAATAGGCGTTGCATTGGAGACGGGTGATGATTAATTATCAAAAGCATCATTCCAATGTTTTGCTTATGCGCCCACTTAGAGGAAGAAGAGAATCGTCATTGACCTTTTGCCCGACTGGCATTGTTTAGGAATTATATTTGATGACAAATTAAGTGCTATATCTTTGGATGAAAGGGCTATGAAAACATATATTTTTAAATAGCGACGTATTTAGTTAAAGTGAGAAATGCAGTTGTGTGCATGATGAGTATGCACTAGTCACGCCATGGTTAGATCGTATATTTCACTTCGTAGGGAAACGAGGGTATGTATACACCATCATCAAATATAATAGCCATTATTTTTTTGTGTTAATATGATTGTTCGTGTGATTTAGTATATGTGTTAACCACTGCATTTTACCGCATGTTTATTAAAGGCACACGCAAATTTGCACGAGCGACGAAATATGGATCAAAAATCACCTGCGCCAAACCCAACACATCGTTACGAATGTGAATATTATGATAAAAAAAAGTAGAAACGTTAGGATACTGGGGACCGAGATCGATATTTAAACGACACGTGGATCTTTTTCAAGCGAAACATTGCAGATGTGTTGAGAAATAACGGGCACGGTAGCGCAAGATACCACGTCATCGTTTACAAACGAAACTGGTAGACACCACGTTACGTAATCTCTGATGTTTGTATTGCCAAAATCGTGTTCTTTTTTTCTCCCAGAGACCGAGAGGGAATCTCTACCGATCTGCAACATTTTAAAATAAAAATCGCGAACTTGCCATCTGCCCCTCCGATGTGCTCTTGGGTTGTGCCTGAAGAATGTTCAATTCCCGAAGGTGCTCCGAGCACGGTGGAGCGAAACGACGGACACGATGTCGTACGACACCGGCAAAACACATCGCAGATCTGGACGGCACGATGGCGAAGGTGTCCAAGCAGTGTGCTGTTGAAACACATTTAGCCCCAAAAAAAGAATCCACTCGAGTCTCCTACACGAATCCACTATAGCTCTCTGGCCTCCATGTGTATGTGCTCTAAAGAAGAGCCATTGCTCGAAACGTCGCCTCGTGTATCCGTTTTCTTTCAAGGCCACATAGTGTCATTGATGAACGTGTTGAGTTTTCATCTAACAGCCCACCCCCCGCCTAACCTAAGCGGCGTCACGAACACCTCAAAGGCACCCGTGATCGAGACACGCGCTTCGTGATACAATGTGTTTAGTGCCGCTTGCGTGGAGTTCCCGAGGGGTGGATGTCAGCGTAGAGGCTGGCCGCATCATCTGTGTGTGTGTGTAATGGGTAGCGATGGGGCGCACCGTAGGGTCTGGGATGATGCAGCGGGCGGTGCTGGTTGTGGCGTGGGGAGGAGGACAAGGAGAGGGTTAGGGGTGGGAGGTAGTGGTTTACTTATCAGAGTGGGGGTGGGTTCGCAGGCGCGATTACAAGTCCGTAAACCCGTTTCTCACCACGCTCCGTTTCGCTTCGGCTGGCGCCTTTCTCACCCCTGTGCGGCAATGGATCGGTCCCAATTAAATAACTCCCCCCCCCCACTCTCCCCCCGCTAACCACTCCTCCCACCCCACCCCAGCCATCCCCCTAACACGCACACACACACACGCGTGGAATCACATCGCTACACTCCGCAAAGCCACGCGTGGATGCACGCGTGCGGGATTTAGACCGCGAGCTTGCGAAGCTGCCAATCTTCGATGGGCTCGGGGGGTGGAGGGGGGGCAATGATGCAGGTCCAGATGTCTGTGTAGCAGGTGCAGTGGGTGAGTCAGGTACATTAACGGTGCTACGACAGTTCGACGTAGTGAGCGAGTTAGGTAGGGCAGGTGTATGTTGTAGAGCATGGAGGTGATGGGGTGATGTGATGTATGCAGGAGCCGCGTTACGTCAGTTCGCTCTAAGTAGGCGCGTTAGCATGTGATGTATTATAGGTGAGGTAGGTGCATTTATTATGAGTATTAGCCTGCTATGTATGTTAAGGTAGGTACGTTTGTTTGTTAGATGTGTTCGATACGTGTATTAGTCTGCCAGGAATGTGTGCTCGTCCATTTTGTGTAGAAGATGGACTTTGAGGTGTGTTCGTCACTTTATGGTGTCAGGGGGCTTCAGGTATGGTGTGCCCGCCTCTGTTTGTGTATTAGAGGCACAGGGAACCACAGAGAAGCGGGAAGGCAGCCAGAACCGGGGCCAACAATTGTCCAAGCTCTGTGATCCTATACTGGGATGTTTGAGCAACTCCAGTAGTCAACGTTTCATACTATGTGAGAGGAAACCGGAGCACCCGGAGAAACTCCACGCGTGTGAGGGGGGCAACCCTTGTCTTGTACAGATGGAAACAGATGGAGATTCATCCACTTGCTGTACTGCCATTTTCCGACGAGCCAGGCTATGGCGACCTCTGTGCCTCTACGGTATCGGAGGTTTCACGACATCTGCGTGAACCACCGAACCTCGCTGCTGCCTCCACATTGCTGGATCAGGAGGCCACGTGTAGCATAACGACCACCGTCGTAAATATGTCCCGCCACACGTACGTGAGTCGAGCTCTGCGGGTGGTGTGAGAGGTCTCTTGGCCCGCAGAGTTTCTGTGTGTGTGTGTCTGTCCGGTGCGGTGCGTTGCGTGCGCGCACCTGTCCCGTGTTGTTGGTGCCGCCCTTGTTGTTGGTGAGCTTCAGCTTTCCAAAAGAGATTTCCTGGCGCATCCAGTGCGCGCCCGTGTTGGGCGAGTCTGGATGGAGGTACATGCGGTTCCCTGCAACACACGGCAGAACCCGTCTGCTTTGAAGGCATCCCGAGCGAGCAAAATAAAAACACGATCACCAAATACGAACGTCGTCGCTCACTTTGTCCGACTCTGCCGATGAGCCTCGTGAAGGTGGAAACCGTGTATAGATATTTTTTCCTGGTCAAGTAAATGATGCTGGGAATAAAACAAAACGACACTCCCTCGAGATGGCCGGGATGGTGGACTAAAACGTAACATTGCATCTCAGAATCAGAATTTGTATTTATACTGGAGGAATCCGATGAGCTAGAAAGCTCTTTTTCACTAATGTCCAGTGGGGGCGAGTCAGAACGTCACAACAACACATTTTTTTTAGAAACAAATAATAATCTACAATAATTCATCGCGTCTATGTGTGTTGTTGTTATAAGGCAACGGTGGGACAATGGGTCGCGCAAAGCGCCACGAATCCGACTATCTAGCTTCAATTTACAACCAATGACAACATCAGTGATAAGTGCCATCTCAGCACCAGGGAGACCAAGACAGTCAGAGGTTCCGCGGTGATGCCACACCACCCACCCCGTGTCTGCGCTCGATCTGCCCTTACAACTCGATCCGCTTAACAGCATTTGCCCCGGCAACGTCAGCCCGTAACGGAAGGACCTTTGCCTCTGTACGTATATGTGTATATATACGTATATGTGTATACGTATATATGCATATATCGCTGTGCGCACGGTAAGTGATACCGATGTCATACTTTAATGCGACAGCTATAGACCAATACTTATAACGCCACTCAGTAGGTGTCACTCGCGCCAGCTTGTCTCATTTGCTGCCGTGAGAATGTCATTATTACTGCGCGATGAGATGCGATGGGCAATCGCTCCGGCCATGCGCGGTGAGTGCAGTATGCAAACAAAGACAAAGATCTCCCTTATAGCCTACAACAGACCGTTGGGGCAAGTGCTGTTAGCGAGCACCTATGAAGGTCGGAACGGGACACGGAGGGGGTGGGTGGTCAGCACCACGCCCGACCGCCTTTGTCTCCCCAGTGGCGATGTTTACACACCGCATTTGAGGCTGAGTCGACCTAGGGGAAGCCCAGGAATGGTTCAGATAATCGTCACTGGTGTTGGCCGTGAGAGGGAATCGAACTGGGGTGTCGAAGAATTCGTAGCGCAGCGCACTAACCACTACACTACCGCTCCCCAAAACACATCAGTCGTCAGGGGGCAAATGCTGTTAGCGAGCATCTATTAAGGCCGGATCGGCTCACGACGATAGTAGCGTGGTCATCACCGAGTCAGACTGCTTTTGTCCCACGCAGAGATGATGATTGCTCACCGCATCAGGTACTCGTTTAAGGTTGAGTCGACCTAGTGGAGGTTTAGATACCGCGTGCCATTGATGTTAACTACTGTGTCCGAAAACGCTAGAATCGCGTGTTTAATGGATTTACTCAGAGTGTACAAACACGTGTTCACACACACACTCACGCACGCACGCACACGCTCACGTACATGTACCGTAGACACACGTGCCCTGCACAGACACACGTGCCCTGAACATACACACGACAGACACAACTCCCCGTATGGCCCTTGAGACTGTTGGGGAACACCTTTCTTCGGACGTACGTGGCGAAGCCAGCTCCACGCCCGCTCGTCTTTGTTTCCCCAGTGATTACGTTTACGCACCGCGTGCTCGCGAAGCGTGAGATCGGTTCAATTCACGCGTGCCGCTGGTGTCATCCGTGACCGGGAATAGAACCCAGGCGGGCGGGCTCTAAGTGCATTCCGTCTCGTATACACACACATACACACAAAGTACAAACACAGACCTGTACACAAATACACATTCGCAAGAACACCTTACAGCACGTATAGATGTACAACCCTCACTCGCTCCCACGTATGCGTACGGGCACACAGGTTCAAAGACATACACACACACACACATTCACCGTCACACACAAAGAAACAGATCACCCACGTAGCCTTTCACAGGCTGTGGGACAAGTGGTGTTGGCGAGCACCTATGAACGGGGTGGTGTGGCCAGAACGATGTCGGGCCGCCTTTGTCTCCCCGGCGCTGATGTTTACGCGCCGCACCATGCCGAGCGGATCTAGGGGAGGTCCAGGACGGGTTCAAGATATTCGCCAGACCAAATGTTGCCTGCGAGCGGGAATCGCCGCGTTCGAAATAGCAGTGCGCTAACCACTGCGCCACAGCTCCCTTGCGTTGCCGTAGAACGACCGCCGTTCGCCACGAAAGCGGCGGGTGATGTCCCTACGACGCTCGTGCCAGGCTAGGTGCGCTTCGAGTGCCACGCAAACGCTAAAACACGCACGATCCCTTTAATGCTCTCCAACACACACAGGACACGCATTTCCCGGCTAGCCTGAACAGACGTTTAGGTGCAAGTGACGTTGGCGCGCACCAGGCACGCAATTGAGGCTGAGTCGACCTCGTGGAGGCTTAGGACCCGTTCAGATAATCGTCACCGATGTTGACCGTGAGCGGGAAGCGAATTCGGGTCGCCGGCTTCGTAGCGCAACGGGCGAACTGCTACACGACCGCTCCCCTATAGACAGAAGTACAAAGACAAAGATCCCCCCCGTAGCGCCTTAGCAGACTGTTGGGGCAAGTGCTGTTAGCGAGCACCTATGACGGCCGGAATGGCACACGAGGGAGTGGGTGGTCAGCATCACGCCCAGACAAACACACACCTCGTCACAGTCGCACTCCGACGTACGCTCCCAACAACATCAATCTCAATTCGCCTCCACGTTGTTGCTGCTGTTGCTGCTGCTGTTGCTGAAGCGACTGCGACGTTTGTGCCAGGCTAGGTGCAGGTGATACAGACACACACGCGCGCGCGCGCACACTCACCCTGCACGTTGGTGTCCGCCTTGCCGCAGGGCACCCACTTGCCGCCCTGGAAGCGCCAGTGGTTGGGGTCTGCAAGAACGACGTCCACGAAGATGTTGTAGTGCGCCGTGGGGTCGAGGCCGGACACGGTGAAGCTCAAGAAGGGGAACATTCGCCTGCGGGGAAGCGGAGAGACCCCATATCACTCACTCAGCTACATTCGCAAACACCACTCACACCCCCCACTCAGCTACATTCACTAACACCACTCACATCGCTCACTCAGTTACATTCACAAACACCACTCACATCCCTCGCTCAGCTACATTCACAGACACCACTCACATCCCCCACTCAGCTACATTCATATATACCACTCATATCGCTCACTCAGCTACATTCACAGACACCACTCACATCCCCCACTCAGCTAGATTCACATACACCACTCACATCCCCCGTTCAGCTACATTCATATATACCACTCATATCGCTCACTCAGCTACATTCACATACACCACTCACATCGCTCACTCAGCTACATTCATATATACCACTCATATCGCTCACTCAGCTACATTCACATACACCACTCACATCGCTCGCTCAGCTACATTCATATATACCACTCATATCGCTCGCTCAGCTACATTCACATACACCACTCACATCGCTCACTCAGCTACATTCACTAACACCACTCACATCTCCCACTCAGCTACATTCACAGACACCACTCACATCTCCCACTCAGCTACATTCACAGACACCACTCACATCCCTCGCTCAGCTACATTCACAAACACCACTCACATCTCACTCAGCTACATTCACAAACACCACTCACATCCCCCGCTCAGCTACATTCACAGACACCACTCACATCCCTCGCTCAGCTACATTCACATACACCACTCACATCCCTCGCTCAGCTACATTCACAAACACCACTCACATCCCCCACTCAGCTACATTCACAAACACCACTCACATCCCAACTCAGCTACATTCACAAACACCACTCACATCCCCCGCTCAGCTACATTCACAAACACCACTCACATCCCTCACTCAGCTACATTCACAAACACCACTCACATCCCTCACTCAGCTACATTCACTAACACCACTCACATCCCTCGCTCAGCTACATTCACAGACACCACTCACATCCCTCGCTCAGCTACATTCACAAACACCACTCACATCCCTCACTCAGCTACATTCACAGACACCACTCACATCCCAACTCAGCTACATTCACAAACACCACTCACATCCCCCGCTCAGCTACATTCACAGACACCACTCACATCCCCCACTCAGCTACATTCACAAACACCACTCACATCCCCACTCAGCTACATTCACTAACACCACTCACATCCCAACTCAGCTACATTCACATACACCACTCACATCCCCACTCAGCTACATTCACAAACACCACTCACATCCCCACTCAGCTACATTCAGAAACACCACTCACATCCCTCACTCAGCTACATTAACATACACCACTCACATCCCCCACTCAGCTACATTCACAAACACCACTCACATCCCCACTCAGCTACATTCACAAACACCACTCACATCCCAACTCAGCTACATTCACAAACACCACTCACATCCCCCGCTCAGCTACATTCACAAACACCACTCACATCTCTCACTCAGCTACATTCACAAACACCACTCACATCCCTCACTCAGCTACATTCACTAACACCACTCACATCCCTCGCTCAGCTACATTCACAGACACCACTCACATCCCTCGCTCAGCTACATTCACAAACACCACTCACATCCCTCACTCAGCTACATTCACTAACACCACTCACATCCCTCGCTCAGCTACATTCACATACACCACTCACATCCCTCACTCAGCTACATTCACAAACACCACTCACATCCCCCACTCAGCTACATTCACAAACACCACTCACATCCCCCACTCAGCTACATTCACAAACACCACTCACATCCCTCACTCAGCTACATTCACATACACCACTCACATCCCCACTCAGCTACATTCACAAACACCACTCACATCCCCACTCAGCTACATTCACTAACACCACTCACATCCCTCACTCAGCTACATTAACATACACCACTCACATCCCCCACTCAGCTACATTCACAAACACCACTCACATCCCCACTCAGCTACATTCACAAACACCACTCACATCCCTCACTCAGCTACATTAACATACACCACTCACATCCCCACTCAGCTACATTCACAAACACCACTCACATCCCCCACTCAGCTACATTCACTAACACTACTCACATCCCCCACTCAGCTACATTCACTAACACCACTCACATCCCCACTCAGCTACATTCACAAACACCACTCACATCCCCCACTCAGCTACATTCATATACACCACTCACATCCCCACTCAGCTACATTCACTAACACTACTCACATCCCCCACTCAGCTACATTCACATACACCACTCACATCCCCACTCAGCTACATTCACATACACCACTCACATCCCCCACTCAGCTACATTCACATACACCACTCACATCCCCACTCAGCTACATTCACAAACACCACTCACATCCCCCACTCAGCTACATTCACTAACACCACTCACTTCCCCACTCAGCTACATTCACAAACACCACTCACATCACCCACTCAGCTACATTCACAAACAACACTCACATCCCCACTCAGCTACATTCACAGACACCACTCACATCCCTCACTCAGCTACATTCACTAACACCACTCACATCCCCCACTCAGCTACATTCACTAACACCACTCACATCCCCCACTCAGCTACATTAACATACACCACTCACATCCCCACTCAGCTACATTCACAAACACCACTCACACCCCCCACTCAGCTACATTCACATACACCACTCACATCCCCACTCAGCTACATTCACAAACACCACTCACACCCCCCACTCAGCTACATTCACAAACACCACTCACATCCCCACTCAGCTACATTCACAAACACCACTCACATTCCCCGCTCAGCTACATTCACTAACACCACTCACATCGCTCACTCAGCTACATTCACAAACACCACTCACATCCCACTCAGCTACATTCACTAACACCACTCACATCCCTCACTCAGCTACATTCACAAACACCACTCACATCCCACTCAGCTACATTCACATACACCACTCACATCCCCACTCAGCTACATTCACATACACCACTCATATCGCTCGCTCAGCTACATTCACATACACCACTCACATCCCCACTCAGCTACATTCACAAACACCACTCACACCCCCCACTCATCTACATTCACAAACACCACTCACATCCCAACTCAGCTACATTCACAAACACCACTCACATCCCCCGCTCAGCTACATTCACTAACACCACTCACATCCCTCACTCAACTACATTCACAAACACCACTCACATCCCACTCAGCTACATTCACTAACACCACTCACATCCCTCACTCAGCTACATTCACAAACACCACTCACATCCCACTCAGCTACATTCACATACACCACTCACATCCCCACTCAGCTACATTCACATACACCACTCATATCGCTCTCTCAGCTACATTCACAGACACCACTCACATCCCTCGCTCAGCTACATTCACAAACACCACTCACATCCCCACTCAGCTACATTCACAGACACCACTCACATCCCAACTCAGCTACATTCACAAACACCACTCACATCCCCCGCTCAGCTACATTCACAGACACCACTCACATCCTTCACTCAGCTACATTCACAAACACCACTCACATCCCCACTCAGCTACATTCACTAACACCACTCACATCCCAACTCAGCTACATTCACAAACACCACTCACATCCCCCGCTCAGCTACATTCACAGACACCACTCACATCCCTCACTCAGCTACATTCACAAACACCACTCACATCCCACTCAGCTACATTCACATACACCACTCACATCCCTCACTCAGCTACATTCACAAACACCACTCACATCCCCCACTCAGCTACATTCACAAACACCACTCACATCCCCCACTCAGCTACATTCACATACACCACTCACATCCCCACTCAGCTACATTCACATACACCACTCACATCCCCACTCAGCTACATTCACAAACACCACTCACATCCCACTCAGCTACATTCACATACACCACTCACATCCCTCACTCAGCTACATTAACATACACCACTCACATCCCTCACTCAGCTACATTCACAAACACCACTCACATCCCTCACTCAGCTACATTCACAAACACCACTCACATTCCCCACTCAGCTACATTCACAGACACCACTCACATCCCCCACTCAGCTACAATAACATACACCACTCACATCCCACGCTCAGCTCCATTCACAAACACCACTCACATCCCTCGCTCAGCTACATTCATATACACCACTCACATCCCCACTCAGCTACATTCACAGACACACCACCACTCAGCTACATTCACATACACCACTCACATCCCCCACTCAGCTACAGACACCACTCACATCCCCACTCAGCTACATTCACAGACACCACTCACACCCCCCACTCAGCTACATTCACAAACACCACTCACATCCCCACTCAGCTACATTCACAAACACCACTCACATCCCCCGCTCAGCTACATTCACTAACACCACTCACATCCCTCACTCAGCTACATTCACAAACACCACTCACATCCCACTCAGCTACATTCACTAACACCACTCACATCCCTCACTCAGCTACATTCACAAACACCACTCACATCCCCACTCAGCTACATTCACAAACACCACTCACATCCCGCTCAGCTACATTCACATACACCACTCACATCCCTCACTCAGCTACATTAACATACACCACTCACATCCCTCACTCAGCTACATTCACAAACACCACTCACATCCCTCACTCAGCTACATTCACAAACACCACTCACATTCCCCACTCAGCTACATTCACAGACACCACTCACATCCCCCACTCAGCTACATTAACATACACCACTCACATCCCTCGCTCAGCTCCATTCACAAACACCACTCACATCCCTCGCTCAGCTACATTCATATACACCACTCACATCCCCACTCAGCTACATTCACAGACACACCACCACTCAGCTACATTCACATACACCACTCACATCCCCCACTC